GCTACTTTGCATCGCTTGCTTTGTTCAAACATCTTCCTGCAGCTTTTCTTGAGCGTGCCTGCATGCCCCGCCCAATTTTGAGCGCAATCGAGAGGTCCGAACCTTGGAAAAAATGGAGATGAAGGCACCCCAACCCACTCAGACATCAGCTTTGCTTGCATTTGAACATTGTCAACGAAACGTCCAGAAACATACCGGCTCACAAAAGCTCTTCCCCATGTCCAACCCTGGCCCATGCAACTCTGGCAGCGACAAAAAAATGGTTCAGGCTCCATGCTTTTCTGCACATTCCTGAGGCCCTCACCCAGCGCTTGGCCGCTGGGCAGTGGCCTGGGACCACTCCTCACGGAATTCAGCACACGGCCGCCAAGGCTGCAAGTGTAGCAATACTTTAGTCACGAACACCAAAAGAGTTCTGCTGGTTGGCCTGCGGTGCCGCAGAGCTTGATGTGGGGACAGCGCGTCCCCGTGGTGCAGCAACATTGGCTGCAGAGGAAGCCTGTCTAGAGTTTGGGCGAACGCGCCAAGAGTTCAGCAGCGCATCTGGCAGCTCTGTGAGTAAAGCCCGGGATTTGCTCGGACAGAAAGGACAAGAGAAGTTTGAAGAAACGAAGCTTACTTGCTGCAATCCTTCAGCACGTGTTGCAAATGCAGGCCTGCAAGGAACTGGAGTGATAGAAGAAGCCTTGCAGGTGGTGAATGCGCAACAAATGCATTGTCCTTCCCACTTGCACGGTGACGACATGCCACTTCGTTTGTACATCAGCCCTGGACTAAAGATACAATATATTATATATTCCTAAGAAAACTCCCCCCTAAACCTCCCCTAAACATTCCCTTATGTGTCCCCCAACCTAAGTTTGGTCTGTAGCTCGAGCAGGCATCCGCGAAGCCGGGAGCAACCTGGCCCTAAACGAACAGCTAAGCTTGGCTGAGCTTGCGACCAGAGCAAGGATCGCGACCATGCTGGGTACGTTTGTCCTCTGCCGCTGACCACATGCCAGTGATTTTCAATCGACAGAAAGTCTCTTACGCGAACTTCCAACACCTGCCTGCACCTTCTCAGCAACTAGGGAAAAAGGCTGGTGCCGGGCTCCTGAGCACAGGTGGGAGTACACACAGCAGGCAGGGTTACCAGCAGGGAAGCTTCAAATATCTGGAAATTCCGCCCTATCCACGCCATAAACATAGCATGTTAATGCCACATCGAGTCAAGACGCGGCAAGCTGTTTCGCTGGCGCATGCCCAAAGCAGAATGTACCTCAAGATCTTGCAAGAGTGTACGACCATTCCAAATATTCCAAAGAGCCTCGAGAACTCCACAGGTAAGGTAAGGCAGGGACATGCCGCATGCTGGTACTGCTGCCAGCATCCTTCAAGCGAGGTGGAGCACTTATCCCATCCGAATAGAAAAGACAGCACCAGTTAGAGAACACACCCAGCACTCAGCCAAGTCCTGAGAAGATTGGGAAATCCGGCGTGTCGCAGATGCTCCTGCCATGACATGTCAGACCACTGTCGTTCCGATCACATCTTGCATCACGGGAAGAGAACAACCCTATCACGGAATGTGCATGCTTCAGAGCGGAACCACACTTAACAATGCAGTTCCTCGTTTTTATTCTGATAACTGGGCCATGTGGCAGAAGCCGCAGATCCCCCCCTTTACTGGATACTCAGATCCTGTAATCAGGACACCTCCAGTCTTGACACCCCAGCCCACGCCTCTAGTGTTGACACACCCCAGATATCTAGCTTGTCATGGACAAGCTGAAGTGGATCTGGCCTGCCGATGCTTACTGCAGATCGCTCTGTACGTGCGTGTGGATGCCCATGGACAAGGCCCTACACCCTAAACCCATCAGTTGTGCCCCCAATCGGGGGGCTGATCAGCTTGGGGGGAACCATGGGAGAGGGCTGCTGCAGGGGGTGCTTCCTGAATCTTGGATAGCCCAAAGCCGAGCCCAAAAAGCTAAATCCGTCAAAACGTCCCTACACGTCTGAAAAAGACAGCCCATGAAACACGCAATTCCATCAACAGTCCCCTTGAAGGGTACCTGTGCTTCAAGAACTCCAAAGCTTTGAGGCTCCCTACACACTCAACCCTAATCCCTCAACCCTCAACCCTAAGCCCTAAACCGCGGAGGCATTCTGGATCCGTGCCACGCCCGAAGCATTGCACGTAGCAGAACCTGAGCCGCCAAAGCCCAGGGTAGGCTTTGGCTTACTGAGGGTCACTAGGGAATAGGGGAATCATGGGGAAAGATACTATAGGGTTCAGATAAGGATTATGTTCCCTCATTCCCTAATAACAACCAGTAAGTTGGAGGTTTCAACACTTTCGGGCTCTTCGTGGTTTCAGGGCTTTGGGATTCCGGGATTTCTTTTTGGGTATTGACTTTTGGGGGTTTGGGGCTTAACGCTCAGAAAGAAGCAGGCTTGTCACGTGCGGGGCCCTTGCGGGGACTGCATGCACAACATCAGATCGAAAGGGCCAAGGGCGTAGGATTTCTGACGATGTTCAGAAACCCGGATAATCAAGCAACTCTTGTTTTCAAATAGGACAAGCATTGGTGCACCCGGTGCTGGTGCATGTCCACTTGCTTGATGAAAGCCATGGGCCGCGTTGGTCTGCTTTTGGGGCGCTATGGGGTGCCTGCCGCTTCGCTATGAGCGGGTGGCTGTAGAAAAACAGAGGTCAATCAAGAAGTTCAAGTTGTTTAAGGTTATACCCTAAACCCTAAACCTTATAGAATCCCCTATATAACCCCCTTTAAGGAGTTCAAGCTGTGTTCCTTCAGGCGCGAACCCCAGCAGCCCATGTCCACAAGACGCATCCTCTAGATACTCCTAGGTCCAAGTACACCTCAAGCTTCCCCCCAACATCAGGGAAACTGATATGTCCCCACTTAAGAGCTACAGTAGTCTGTGTCGGGCCTTTAGTGGCCTTTGTAAGCTTCCATGTTAGTTTGGGGGATGGTACTTTCAAGGATCGTGGAGTTCGGTCATATATTACATCCCCCTAATCAGCCCATAGTAACCCTAGTGTAACCCTTTGTAAGTGGGCTATATATGGTGGGTTACCTAACCCATGAGTAACTCCAGGGCCCCTCAACGTTGAATTCCATTACCTTTTTCATTTCTCTACATAATAGCCCCATAGTATAAGCCACCATTAGTTTGGGGTAGGGTAGTGTGGGGGGGGCACGGGGCTAAGGCGCGGGCCCAGGGCGTGCTGGCGCAGCTCCGCTCCACTCACCCTGCAGGGCCGACAGTTACAGTTGAATTTACTTGGTTCACGGTCACGGGTTTAGGGCTGGGGTTCTTACGATTTATGTAGTTGCTGGATGGAATGGTTCTCATGCTCTAGGATCTGTACAGGGCTTAGGGCTTTTGAGAATTTCAGGTGTAGGGGGTCTGGGGTAACGGGCTCAGGTTCGTTTGCGTTTGCAGGACTGCAGCTGGCAGTCTTTAGAACTACGTCCCGTTTTGCGGGTCCCCGGAGTAACGCCTACAGCATGTTGGCCCATGTTTAGCTTCTCATCGTAAAGGTAAGAGATTGAGCGGATGCATGAAAGTCCAAGAAGATTATGGGATTGCCTACTGTCACCCAGAATTACTGAGGTTCTCTCAAGAAACTATATGGGGATGCATAGAGATTGGTAGGCTAATATATGGAATCAAATTGGAAAATGAAATGACACCGGGCTTTTGTTCGGGTTTATTGTGCTCAGAAACTGGACCTGACCTTATAATTCCTAGCAATGACCCAAGCTTAAGTACAAGGCACCGTACGCAGGGTTCTACTTTCTACATCCTGCAGGGAGTCGGGGCAAGGACTACATCAGGAGATCAGGGGGATTCGTGTATAAACTATACTTAGATGAGGGTTCTGTGGGAGGGAGGGTCGGGTAGGCCGGTGGGGGTAATGTGGGCACGACTGGCGGTCTTCTCGAAATCATCCCGTGAGCTTGTGTCGAGTCACGGCACAGACTGCAGTCGCGGAGGTCGCAACCAGAGAGGCGGCGGTGAGAGGCGCGCTGGAGGGTGCCGGCCAGGCCTTGCGGTTTGGCAACTCTAGGGCATTGTAGCTTTGGTTGGTGACATCAAAAGAAGGCATTCAAGCGGATAGGCGCATGTAGGGACACAACTCTATAACATATGTGTATATATGTACATGTTTAAATATAAATAAGAATGTATATAGAGGCAGATATGCAGGTATGTAGATACCTATCCCCGTCTAACTGTGTGACTTCGCATTTCCCGCCCTTATTTGCCTTCACAGCCCATCAAAATTTCCCAACATTCCTAGACTCCACGCCGCCAAACTCTCTTGACCCCTAAACTCTACGCCCCAAGCCCTCAACTGTACACCCACAATCAGCACAACTAACGTGGAACCACGAAAGGGCGCAATCAAGTCCATTGTCCCTGCAAAAAAAGGGGCTCTGCGGGGTTAGGTCAGTTCCAGGAGGGTAGGTTCGGTATGGCCAGCGTTTGCAACTGCCTGCCTGATGCCGGACCTTTGTAGTGGCGCGAAGTGCACCTGTCAGGGTTTAGGGATTATGGGTTTGGGGTAAAGGAGATGGGGGTCCTTTAAACATTGGCTACCCGCAGGTGGAAAGGCTTATGGCTCAGAGTTCAGCACCTGCGTGGCTAGACTGGGGTCCAACATCTTGCGATAGCAGCCTTAAATGTTCATTGTTGTGGGGCCATTGTCACTTTCAGGTGGCGGTGAAAGATGCGGAGACTCTGTAGAAACTGATGTAGTCGTGATGCAGGGATGGGCTGCTCTTTAAACTCAGAACGCCGCCATGCTTGCACCCCCCTTCCTGGACCTGCTATTGCGGTGTCAGATCTACCCGAGAAAAGGCGCCTTTTGGCTGGCTGCCAGCTCCTACGATGAAGGTGCTATGCACCACGCCGGCCAGGCCTTGGAGGGTTTCAAGGTTGCTCAGGCTCAGGAAGCGGCCTTATGTTTAGGGTTCAAGGTGTAGGGCCTGGGGCGCAAGTCCTGGGTCCCAGCACTTGGGGGGTTGTCGAAATGCCTCATCCCTTTGCAGATATTCTGTCATGGGGCCCGGAACTGTAGGGTCGAGGGGAGCAGTAAAACCCTAGGGTTAGCAGGAGCAATGATGCTTCGTGTCTTTGTTAGAGGGTGGACCGTCGAAAGCGGCTTCAGGGCCAAGATGTTCAAGCCCACAGGGCGCGACAAAGCAGCTTTTGGGAAGCTGCAGCTGCTTCATCACTTGGGTTGAAAAGTTGAACCCTAAACCCTAAACTAGGCAAAGCATTGAGTTGATGAAGTTTGAGGCCCCTCCCCCTCCACAGACTCCCGATATCTCTCCTACATATCCCCGTCTCTCACAACAGTACGTGTCGCTAAGAATCCCCATATGTCCCGAATATGACCCCTGAAAACCCTTGCTCTTTGTGGACTAAATGAATTCCTATCTTTGATGGGGCAGGTCTTTGGACCTAAACCCTGAGCCCTGAACCCTAAACCGCGTTTGCTGGCTTCGGGCTCAGCGTTCAGCATGAAGGGGTTTACGACTTAAGGTTAAGAGCGCTGACAGGGACTTGATACCCCCAAGCCCCAAAATTCGCTTTAATCATCTTAAATCCCAAGACCCTAAGCCCCATATCCCGAGTCGCAAGCCTTCTGCATTCGAAACGTCAGGCCTTCCAGTCCTGACCTCAACATCCCAGACCTGAGGCCCTAGACCCTAAACCACGATAATCATCACACGAATGATGATGGTAACAATACTAGTACTCACGAGAGATACTAACAAAGCGCGTACGAGCTCTGGGCTTGCTGCCTACGGCCGTGCCAATGCCGCACTTTCTGGATGCCATCCTGCTAAAGACCAAGCGAGAATCCAAATGGCTGTAGGTGCCTTCTTTAGCACCAAAAACGTCTCGAGCCTAAAGGCTCTGTCATGGAAGGGGAGTGCGACGAAGTTGACACTGGCTTTACGATCGTTTGCAAGAATGGAGTTTCGGAGCCCGCAGAAACACTCTGCCGAACAATGCAAGGTTGAAATAGCTTCAGTTCCAAATGGAGATGGTACTGTAGTCGGTGAGGTCGTTGAGTCGCATGGAGGCAACTTCTTCCTCTACCTCCAACTTATTAGTGCTGCACTTCTCCCAAAACCATGTGCTCCTTGTGGAATTCCCCCGCAAGGAGCTCGCCATTTTGAGGAACCCCGGAACTCTCTCACTATAAGAAGCATACTCTTCCCAGAGTCCTTGGCTTCAATTGGACAAGCAGTAGAAAATCTGGAGCACCAATGCCCATTGCATGTTGTTGTCAGAGTTTTCAATCCCTTTGCTATGCCATGCCATGCCGCATTGCGAAGCTGATGCTAGACGAAACACCTCACTTTCTGCTACGCTGCTTCGCAGCTCCTCTACTCTGCTGCATGCGGCCATGACAGACT